GGTTGTTGGGCATGTACACACACACGCATGTCCACAGCAAGAATGGGAAAGTTCTTGGGAAGGCAGTTTAATGGGTAGGGGCTTGCTGTGCAAGCACAAGGACCTCAATAGAGATTCCTTAAACCCATGTGAAACTGGACACAACAGTCTCTATTTTCATCTCAGAGTTCCTGTGGCAAGTCAGGCGGTGAATAAGGGGAATCCATGAAAGCTCATGGGCCAGGTACCCTGTGGTACAGCAGCAAAAAAAAACCTCAAAAAGACCCTACTTAAACAAGGCAGAAGTGTGGACCTGTGCCGATGTCCATCTGTGTGCCACAGCACACATATACCCATGCCCACATATCACACACATTAAACAAGAAAGGAAATTTCAAAAATATATGGTCAACTAGTCACAGTCTGTGAGTGGCACCAGGGATGCCTCAGCCTGCATATAGTCATGCTACAAACTTAGAAGTGGGGCTCTGCCTAGGGAATCCCAAGGGAGCTGGGCATATCCCAGGCTTAGATCAGCGCTCTCTGCCCAAAAAAGGCAGATTTCCCAAGAAGTCTGATATGATTCAGACTAAAAAGAAAACATATTTGTGACATTCAGAATCCCAAGACTTCTTCTAATAACTGTTCAACAAGGCAGGGGCAAACACACTCCACCGACGCTGTGAGCATGGCTTTCTGCATCACTACATTATGACAGCATCACAAAGCACACTTGGCAAACCTCGCTGGTGCCAATACCTTCACTATCCTTATTTAATCCTCACAGTTCCTGGGACTTGGCACTGGGACCAGTCCTATCCTCTAGTGAGAGCAGAGGACCAGAAAAGTAAGTAACTTCCCCACTAACACCCCAAGGCAAAAAAGCAGAAGCATGAAGATGGGACAAGACTGAGTCTGAGCTTTTCAGGACACAGACACCTCAGTTCTTCCTGGACTGCCCCAGGAGATCAAAGCAGGCCCAAATTAGCAAGTCAGGCTTCTTACCTCTTTCCTCTGTGGGCCCTGGAAGATCTTTACCAGTTGGTCCTGCTGGAGCACTGAGTCCAGATAGCCTCTTCTCTGCAAAGGGCTTTCGAGAACCCTCCAGCAAACTTGTGGGCTCATTAAAGAAGTCCTGTGTCGAGCTGGAGTCTGACAGGGCCACAGCGGTGCTGTCCTGGCTTCGGTCTGAAGGAGGGAGGAAAAGGGAGGACCATGAACTAACAACACCTCTGGCACAGAGGGGTCTACCAGGGCTAGGCTCCCAATGGCCCAGAACCATCCTGTAAGAGGTCCCCTCAGTGTACCATCCTAACTCTGCTAAGTACAACCCACCCTAGAGGCCCCAAGTCACTCAGAAAAGGCACCAATCTCTATGGACAACCTTCCCCAGTTTCTACAAACAGTGGTCTGGCAAACTCAACTGGCTCTTGTGGAAAAGCCCATGTGCACTGTCTACTGTGAAAATCCCTATGACGGCAGATTCGAAGCTACCAGTGTGCTGCTGGGAGTTGTGGTGCTAAGAACAGATGGTACAGTCACCGTCATTAGAAGAGAAATGGTAACGGCAACGAATCAGCAAAACTTTTTAGGCAGCTGTATGTTCTAGAATGAAAAGTCTAGACTCCTTTAAGGACACAAAGGCAGGTTGTACTCGCTCCCTGGATCTTCTCAAGTCTCTACAGGTACTCTAGGAGAAACACTAGAAGCAGAGCTGGCAGAAAGCTTGACAATGTCTGGGAATAAAGGTCTAGGGAGGAGGTGCAGGCTGTACTATAAAAGATGGGAGGCGTATCTGGACCCTTCTCCTCTAAAGGACAAAAGCCCCAGCTTTGACAGGTGGCAAACCTTGCTGCCTCCAGGACACAGGGGAAGGGAAAAGGAAGACTTAGATGTAAGAAAAAGCAAGAAACCCAACACTAGGAAGAGACAGGGTCACTAAGAAAGCTGTACCCCTGAGATGCGGGACACAGAGCCTTCCTAAGTCTGAGGCTAAACCAACAGAAGAAAGCCACTTTTGTCTCTGCCCCAGGCCAGCCAGCAAGCAACAGAGCTGTCTCTACTGCAGAAGAGAGGAGCAGGCAGGCAGAGCCTGCAGAGGCCTAAAGTGGAAGAAAGTCAGAAAGCTGAGCAAAGTCCAATTGAGAGAGAATATGGAGCTGGTAGCACACTGAAGGTAATCGTAGCAACAAATTGCAACCCAGCTCAAAGGCCAGAGGTAGAACACGTAAATCTATTCCAGAAATAAATGTATTGATTTCAGATAGTTTCTTTGATTCTACACATGATATCTGGTATCCACTATAAAATTATAAGACAGATACACATGCATTAATAAACAAAACTCATACTGTAAAGAGACAAAACAATAGAACTAGAATCGGAGATGATCACGGACTATTTAAAACAGCAACAGTTAATGTGCTGCGTAGCATGACTAGGATGGGAAGGCTGTGATGGAAAGCCTGCACACTACCCATGAACAGATGGTGAATTTCAGAAATGAGCTGGAATTTAAGAGTCAAATGCAGCTTCTAGAAATAAAAAACAGTAACAGAGATGAGGTGTTTTTTGTCGGGCTTTCCAGCAGACTTGACATAGTGGGATGAAGGAAGGATCAAAACTTGAAACTAGAGGACTGAGAAGACAACTCAGAGGTTCAGAGCACTGGCTGCTCTTATAGTGGACCCGAGTTTCATTCCCAACACACCACAGAGGCTTACAACCGCCAGTTCCAGGGGATCTAGCAGCTCCTCTGGTCTCTGTGGGCAGGAGGCACTCATATTGTGCATATATATGCATATATATAAATATATACATAATACATACATATTTGTGCAAACACAATACTCATATACACAGAAAAAATAAAACTTAATACCACAAACTAGTTAAGTATAAACAGTCCAATGGGGGACGGTGGATAAGCAGCACAGAGCACCTGAATGATCTAATCCATTAACCAGAGCACAAAAACAAGAAAAGCAAGACAGGAGAAAACACTGTAACAGACAATGACCAGAGCACTTGCCTAGCATATGCAAAACCCTGGGTTTGATCCCAGCATGGAAAAATTAAACACATAGATTAAGACTTTCCAAAAATAAAGACATCGAGTCCCCAAGAATCTCAGAGAACAATAAGCAGGGCAAGGCCCCTCTACACTTGATGGAGGGGTCACACACGAGCAGACTCAGACTGCTGAAACCCAAGACAGAGAATCTTACAGAGTTCAGCAAAACACACCACAGAGACAAAGAAGAATGACAAGGGCTGGAGGGACACTCAGAGGTTAAGAGCACTTGTTGCTATTGCAGAGGACCTAGACTTGGTTCCCAGCAAGCACATGGTGTTTCACAACAACCCCTAACTCTAGGGCCAAGGAATCTCCCAAAGGCATCAGATAGAACACTCATACACATTAAATAAATAAATCTTTTTAAAAAGTGAAGAAGCCATGCATGGTAGCACACATCTGGGAGGCAGAAGCAGGCAGATCTCTATGAGTTTGAGGCCAGCCTAGTCTACAGAGTTAGTTCCAGGACAGCCAGGGCAACACAGAGAAACCCTGTCTAGAAAAACCAAAAAATAAAAAGTAAAAATAAATAAGATAAATAAAACCCTAAATAAGGTGAAGAAGAAGAAGAAGAAGAAGAAGAAGAAGAAGAAGAAGAAGAAGAAGAAGAAACAAACAAACTACAAACTTCCGATCAGAAAGCATGTCTCAGATAATATCTTTGGTGCACCCATTCTGTGGAGGAGGGGCAAGATCAATTCTTTAATCAGTAAAAATAACTTCCTAAAAGGCAAGCGTTAACGAAGGTATTTCTCAGATAAGCAAACTCTGAGTAAAATCATTATCAGCAAATAGGAGTCATATGTTTAGATAGAATGAACAAGAAGCCAAACAGAAAGCTAGACCCGTATAACGGAATTAAGCACGCTAGAAAATGGCTAGTGTGGTGTCACGCACCTGTGGAGCCAGCACTGATGAGTAGGAGACAAGACTGTGCCAAAGAACTAAACTGAAGTGACAGCCATGGCATGGAGCCTTGCAGAGTACGTGAGAGTAAACGAGTAAAACAGCACAAGGCCAACACTGCCTTCAAGTAGGACAGCATCTTTCGAAGGCTGGTGGTGACGGACTGATAGTCCGTTAGGCGTAAGGCACTAACTACAATTGTATAATACACGAGCAGAAGTCAATAGTTTGTATATCTGAAGGTGAGGGGCGAACAAGTACCTGCCCTCTCATCATGGCTGAGGTCAGTTTCACAAGGGCTTCTGCGGACAGGGGCAGAGGCAGACAGTGCCCGTGGCCCTTCCATTCTTCCTTCGGAACCTTAGAAATCAAATACAGGTGACTATATTAGCGCCTATCAGGCAATCCTGAAGACCTGTGCGAGCCATTAGGTGGGCAAATCATGAACACGATGGAACCGTTTCCACAGAGTAGCAAGCCTGGACTCAGGAAGGGCAGACCGTCAGTGCTGAAATCCCACTCTTTCGTGTCCTCGCATAGAAATGTGCACTTTGGTTTCCCTTCATGTAAAACTAAGGAGCGTGCTCACTTCCTACAACTGTCATCATAACTACATAGCTTATTAACCACCAAGTGCCTGAAGCAGTGCCTGGCACACAGTAAAGATGTCCGTTTAATTATCCATACCGAACTGTTTCAGAGCCTAGGTGTGATTTATCAGGAATGTCTCAACGGATCATCAGCAGTTTCATTCTGGACGGAGTTCACTGAGCCGCACAGCAGTGGGGACAGGTGCACATCCTTAACCGGGGTCCAAACACTGGCCTCCAGCAGAGACAGGCAGAGGAGCACTGAAAATTAGCTCTAGCCTCAACCACCTGCTCCATCGCTCTGGCCTTGGGCAGCACAGCAGACCGTTGTCCAGTCCACTGCCAGGGAAGTGGCAGGTCATACGTTTCCACTGGCCAGACACAGTAAGAACAGAGGCTCTGGGCCGTGGTCAAGACCCAGGCTGAAGTGGGGAGCTGACTAGATCTGCTGCCTCATACTGACAGAGAGCTCTTCCCTCACGCCCATTCCTTCCAGGGGCTTCATAAGCACTGAATAAGGGTAAAGGCCAGGCCTGCTATACTCAGAAGAAATTCCAAACCCGAGTTTCCACTATACAGGAGTCATTTCTCCCTTTGTCTAAGTCAGACATCCCATCTGCTATCTCTGTAGAAAGAGAATGACAAATGGAGACCCTGATGTCTCCAGTATCAAATAAAAAAGTTATTATTGGGGTGGGGTATGTGTGTGCCTGTGTGCACGTGCGTATATGGAGGAGGGTCACAGCATCTATATGGAGGTCAGAGGACGGTTTGTGGAACCAGGTATCTTCTTCTGTCTTTATGTGGGCTCCAGGGATGGGACTCAGGTCACCAGGCTTGCTTAGTAAGTGCCTTTACCTGATAAGCCATCTTGCTAGTCCCTGTTGAAGAACTTTGAACGTAGGATCTCAGGCCCACATTCTAATCTCAGATCTGCTCCTGATACTCTGCACACAAAGGGTTGAATAACTGCTCTCTTAAGGCCCCCATTTCATGTTTTTACCACAAGTTTTAGTTTCCTAACTCCTGACCATGGGATCTCCTCCACAGGGTCTATTTCCTGACACACACTAATGACAGCACAGTGATCTATCCCACCCAAAGAAGTCACTCTGGCCTGGACAGGGAGCATGGATAGCTTGGGCAACGCCAGAGAGGTCTCAATGCCTCCAGAAGAAGGCAGGCCTTGTACTTGCTGCTAAGGTCTCCATGAAAGCCAGGCCAGGGCTGCCCAGCTCATCTCAGGTACCAGTAAACACCCTGAATTCACAGCTGACTGAGAAGTGCATCCAACACTGAGCTTCAGGAAGCAAGCCTCGCCAGGATGATCTCACCCCCTGGCAGACTGCCCCATCAGTTCACTGGCTCTCAAGCTGTTAGGCTCTGGGCCTGAAGGAATTGCCAGTTTGGTGGAATCCCAGCTGTGATCATTACAAAAACAGGGCAGACTTAAGCAAACGGGTATTTACTCCTAATGAGCTAATGCTCCCTCAACACTTCAACACGAGGGGACCACAAATCAAGACTACAACAGAAATGGGGTGGGCAAGAACAGATGACAGGATGGAGCCTGTGCTCCACTGGAAAGCAACACCCAACTGAGAACACTCTCTTAAGCCTCTTGGAGTAACAGACAGCCAACAGCAGCCACAGGAGAGGGACCAAGGAGGGACAGGCCTATGGACGCACTTTCCCTGGCCCTTCCCCACACCTCTCACGTGGATGAGAACCTCTAAGAGCTGGCAGAGCCCAGGCTGCCATTGGTCCTGAGGATGCAGTGGGAGCGCCAGGTCTCTCCTCAGAGATGAGCACAGCTAATGGAAGCAGAGTCCTGTGGTAACAACTACAGGTCACAGCGCTTGGCAGAGGCAGTATGTGTGTGTGTGTGTGTGTGTGTGTGTGTGTGTGTGTGTGTGTGTTAAAGGTTCTGCACAACAGACATGGCAGAACTGGGAAGTTGGGTTGAAGGGGGTGCTGGCAAGGCTGCTGCCTACTCATGGGATTCTGGGGACTTACTTGGATTAGAAAGAGAAGACAACAAGAAGACAGCCAGCAGTATCTCTGCCTGGCATGCACAAAGTCCAAAGCTCAATTCCCAGCATCACAGAAACCAGATGTGGTGGAGCACACCTGTATTTCCAACACTCACTAGGAGAGGTAGAGGTCATCCTTGGCTACACATCAAGTTTGAGTCCAACCTGGATTACACGAGACTATCTTCAAAAAACAAAGCAATACAAAAACTTGAAAAAATGAAAGAGGGTAAGTTATTTTCTCCCTCATACTTCTTTCAAGACTAAAAACTGTTAAGATTTACTTTTGTACTTTGAGATATCATCTTACACCTGTCAGAATGGCTAAAATCAAAAACACCAATGATAGCCTTTACTGGAGAGGTTGTGGAGGAAGGGGTACCCTCATCCATTGCTGGTGGGAATGCAAACTTGTGCAACCACTTTGGAAATCAGTGTTTCCGTTTCTCAGGAAATTAGGGATCAACCTACCCCTGGACCCAGCAATACCACTCTTGGGAATATACCCAAGAGATGCCCTATCATATGACAAAAGTATTTGTTCAACTATGTTCATAGCAGTATTATTTGTAATAGCCAGAACCTGGAAACAACCTAGATACCCCTCAATGGAAGAATGGATGAAGAAAGTGTGGAATATCTACACACTAGAGTACTACGCTGCGGTAAAAAACAATGACTTCTCGAATTTTGCATGCAAATGGATGGAAATAGAAAACACTATCCTGAGTGAGGTAACCCAGACCCAAAAAGATGAACATGGGATGTACTCACTCATATTGGTTTCTAGCCATAAATAAAGGTCACGGAGTCTATGATTGGTGATCCTAAAGAAGCTAAATAAGAAGGTGAACCCAAAGAAAAACATATAGTTATCCTCCTGGCTATGGGAAGTAGACAAAATTGCCGGGGAAAAAATTGGGATCTTGGGGGTGGGGTGGGATGGGGTTAAGGGGAGATGGGGAGAGAAAAGTGAGAAGGGAAGGATGGGGGGAACTTGGGGAAACAGGATGATTGGGATAAAGGAAGGTTGGATAGGGGAGCAGGGAAGCACAAATCTTAGTTAAGGGAGCCACCTTAGGGTTGGCAAGAGACTTGAACCTAGAGTGGCTCCCAGGAGCCCAAGGTGATGTCCCCAGTTAGTTCCTTGGGCAGCTGAGGATAGGGAACCTGAAATGACCCTATCCTATAGCAATACTGACGAATATCTTGCATATCACCATAGAACCTTCATCTGGTGATGGATGGAGATAGAGACAGAGACCCACAATGGAGCACCGGACTGAGCTCCCAAGGTCCCAATGAGGAGCAGAAGGAGGGAGAACATGAGCAAGGAAGTCAGTACCACGAGGGGTGCACCCACCCACTGAGACAGTGGGGTTGATCTATTGGGAGCTCACCAAGGCCAGCTGGACTGTGACTGAAAAAGCATGGGATAAAACCGGACTCTCTGAACATGGCGAACAATGAGGGCTGATGAGAAGCCAAGGACAATGGCACGGGGTTTTGATCCTACTTCATGTTCTGGCTTTGTGGGAGCCTAGCCAGTTTGGATGTTCACCTTCCTAGACATGGACGGAGGGGGGAGGACCTTGGACTTTCCACAGGGCAGGGAACCCTGACTGCTCTTTGGACTGGAGAGGGAGGGGGAGAAGGGTGGGAGGAGGGGGAGGGAAAATGGGAGGCTGGGAGGAGGCGGAAACTTTTTTTTTCTTTTTCTCAATAAAAAATTAAAAAAAAAAGATTTACTTTTGTTATTCTTAATTATGTTTAGGTGAGTATCTGTATGTGGGTATGTACGCCTGGGTACAGAAGATCTCAGAGCCAGAATGGTGTTTAATCCCCTAAAGCTGGAGCTATAGGAGCCATGAGCCACATGACATGGGCGCTGAGAACCAAAATGGGTCCTCTTGAAGAGAAACGAGTGCTCTTAACCACTGAGTTATCTTCTCCGGCGCCAAGATTAAAATCTTTAAATTACATGTCTTTCTCTTTATTGTGTATATGTGAACACGCATGCACACGTCTGACATGTGTACACGGAGGTCAGAGAGGTTCCAGGTTCTCTCCTTCTACCACGTAGGTCCTCAGGCTTAGCAAATGGCAAATGTGTCTTTTCCTGCTGAGCCAGCCACCTTGCTGCACATCTATCCCTCTTCTTTTTCTTCCTTCGAGAAAAGAATCTTATTACATAATCTATGATGCCCTGGAACTTGGGATCCTCCTACTTCAGGCTCCTGATTTCTGGGGTTGCAGGCAGGCGTTACCATACCCAGGTAAGGTGAATTTCTTCAAACAAGAGACACTAATGGGATGCAAAGGTCAGGATTCCGTTTCTCCCAGCTCCTGCTCCCTGGTGAGTATGAAATGGTAGGTGGTTTACAATAATCCTGATTATAAACTCCAAGGCGACACTCAAGGTTCCACATCAAGAACCCAACTGTTCAGAAGGAAGCCAAGTTTCCCTTCCTTTAGAGCACAGGGTAAAGACAATGAAAAGCTCTTACAGTGTGGCTCCGGGCCTGGTGTGGCACTGCACGCCTATAACTCCAATACTTGGAAGCTGAGGCAGAATCTCTGTGACTCAAGACCCGTCTAAACTACCTGTCAGGATCCAATCTAAAAATAAACAAATAGGTTGCTTTAGCAGGGCATGCATACAGGGCCTCCCATCTCCTCTCCTAGGGAGTCACATCTTCTTGGGCTCAGTTAACTGAGGACCTTGGGAAGGCAAACA